GATTCGGAAGGAGGACACGTCGAAGCGAGATCGAGATGTGATCGATCGATTCCTGTCCCATCGCGTGGTTATCGCACACGTTGTCGGCGCGAGAGAGGAAATCCGATGATTTCATTTAATCCGCTGCCCCTCGCTGGAGAGGACGAAGGCCCATGACCGTTCGATCCCGCGATGACCGTCTTCGAACGATCGCCAGGTTCAAGAGCGACACGGTGTTTTACGTCCCCATCTCCGATCCTTAGCTTCGATCGAGGAGGGATCGCCTCGAAGATCGAAGGAAGAAAGATCGTTTCTGAAGTAATCCGAAGTTGACTCGCGGGACGGGTCAGAGTCCAAATTTTTGTGCTTCTCTCTTCGATCTCTCTTTCCACGAGATCGTGCTCGCCATCATGCCGGGAATAATCGTGGATTCGCGTGGATTTTTGTGAATTATCGAGGAAGAGGCGGGGATTGTTATTATTCTTGGAAGATGTGAGCGAGGCAAAGTTCGGACGAGAGAAGCTGGCCAGGAGATGGACAGGTTTTTCCGGTGGAAAAGCCACAACAAGGCGCAGGAGGACGTGAGTATGCGCCAACAGCATCACCACCGCCGCATTTCCTCTCCCGAGGAAAAATTTACATTCGATCGGGCGGAGGCCCAGAAGGCCCCCGACTCGGGAACAATAACGCGCCGGATAAAGGAGAATAACGCGGGAGAGGAGTGGAGAAGACGAAATTATGCATGTATTAGGAGAACTCGGGTTAAGCGAGCTCTCTCAGGTGGAACGGGTTCCTAGAAATTGTAACTCGATTTCCTCTCTAGGCTCTCTGTGAACGCGTAGGATTATACACTTCCCTAAACCGGTTTCCGCGGTTTAAAACACCGAACGTTACGTGTAACGCGTGACCGACCATCTCGCGGAAACACGGCCTGAATGAACGAGACATTTTCCGAGATTATTCCTGTTCCTAACGTTATTCCTGTTTTTTTTTTTTCTTTTTTTTCGAAACGCAAACTGTATCGTAACGAATCGATCCTTTAACCTTTTTCTTTTTCTTCTCGATACGATATGCGCGGAGGATCGTTTACGTTTTGCTTTCCGACGTGGAATTTTAAAGTGTTTCCAAATTCGTGGTTAAAAAAATATCTTTCGCATGTTCGTTTAAATTCGTTAAATCCAATCGTCTCTCAGAAGCGAAACACACTCGACGTTTTATATCGTCGCTATAAATTCGAGTGACTCGAGGAAACAATGTTTTGGCACGAGTCGCTGCCCCATCGGAGGAGAAAGGCTGATTCTTCGGGAATTCTTCCGGACGGAGACAAATCACGTATTTTTCTCGCGCGAGAGAAGGCAATCTCCTCGTATCCGTAGCCAAGAAGAGGATTAAATGAACCCGTGCTACTTTTCCCCCTCCTCTTTGTAGCCGAATTCGAGCGACGTCTTTTGGACTTTCCCCGAGACTCCTATTTATCCTCATTTCAACCCCTTAATCCTAAAAAAAAATCGAGCGAATAACCCGAAATTTCTCCATCTTTTCACGCGGCGACAAAGATTTAGAGGAGATCGTTTTCTCTCCTTTTCCTCGTCCATAAACCTCGATGGAAATGGTCGCGTTTAATTTCGATTTTTACGAAAAAGTTTTCTCTTCTTCTCTCGACTCGAATTTTACGAGCTATTCTCCGAAAACACACTTTCTTACTCGAGTTCGATGGGCCGAAATATCGCTCGGCGCGCGATGAATGCTGCGGCATATCGCATGACTTCGTTGCACGCATCGTTGGCGTGCATTTCGATTAATCATGCTTACGCGTCGAGCAAGTATTGACATTAGAATGGAAAATTTTCGTTATATCGGATACGTATCTTTGCGGAGTCAACAGGATTGAAGGAAGAAAAAAAAAAAAGAGAACGAATTCTTGGCACGCGAGTTTACCCTTCAAACTTTTTTAAACCTTCTTCCCGATCATTTTTTCACGCTGTTTCCTCTCCAGAGAACGTTTCAACGTGAAAAGTTTCCCGCTCGAGTCGAGAGAACTAATCTCGCGTGGTTATTGCTCTCGATTAAATCGAAAAGTTGGAAGCGAAAAGTTTTTATCGCTCGGCGATAAAGCGGGGGAATAAATTGGTGGCAAGCCGGTCTTTCCTTCTTTCTTTCCTTCTTTTTCCCTCCCTACTTTGGATTTTTCGCGGGGAAAAAGCGCGAGTCCTCGAGAGGGCAGCGTGAAAGGGCCAGAAAGCTCGAGTCGGCTCGAGTCGAGAGTAAACTCGCTCTTTGCACGGGTAAACCGACACTCGGCTAGTGCGAGCTTTTCTGCTCTTTTCACTCGGCCGTTCCGCCGCCCGGAAGAGAGCCCGTGGCCATGAAAAATGTAAGAGCCACGCGCGCGCGCAAGCACAAATTATTTCATCATCGGTGGAGAACGTCTCGAGGGAGTTCTTTTCCTCCCTGTCGAGAACGCTTCCACCGTCTTCCTTCCACTCGTAGTCGAAATTTTCACGAATCTTCTTACCAAAAAAAAAAAAAAAAAAAAGAAGATATAGGAGACGGCGATTGACCCAGTTTGATTCACGATCGAGAATACGCTCGAGAATAAATCGATCGTGTTGGCTATATACCGCGAGATCGGCATAAATTAAACGTTACTAACGTTTCAACCGCGTACAATCCTCCTCCTCCTCCTCCTCCTCCTCCTTCTCTCGAGTTGGAATCGCGGAGAAACTCGATTCCTCGGAGGATAAGATCGGAATCGAGTTGATTCGAATGCTCGCTTCGACTCCCACGCGCTCGTTTCGAGAATCGTTCGCGGATCGATTAACTCCTCAACGAGCGGAACAAGCGTAGAAATTTGTTGGCCTTTCTGCCCTATCGTCTCGTGGTGAACTTGGATAACATCCGCTAAATATCCGTGACAATGGCGAGAGGAGCGCGCGAGAGCAACGTTATAACCGTGGACGAGTTTCGCGTTACAGGAAGAGTCGGGTTATCCGGTCGAATCTAATTGTTGTGCCTGTTGGCCGAATGGTGGTTACCGGGTCGTTCACCACATTCACGCCCACGCTCTTGCCTCGACTCGCCAAGAAGCCATCGATGTAACGCGGCGTCCCTCTCTCGTCGGCTACTTAAGCTCTTGCGATTTATCGGGGCTTGACGCGCTTCGGTCAACTCGAAAATCAACCATTTCTCTCTCTCCCATTCTTTTTTCCCCAGCTTGTATATATACCTCTTATCGCCGTTTTACACGCGCCTAACAACATCCCCTTCTTTTTAGAGAATACTTCATTTTGCGCTTCTATGGAAGAAACTTTTCTTTAAGACTTTTCTTACACGCGCGTCGAAGCGAAGATCGATATAGAACGATCGATCGGCAAAGTCGAAATCCGTGAAAATGGAGGAAACCATCGGTTCGTTGCCTGGATAAACGATCGAGAGAGAGAGAGAGAGAGAAGAAGAAAAAAAACTACGCATCATCGACCCGTCTCAAATCCCTTCGTGCGAAAAAAAATCTCTTTCGCGTATCGTTATCGCTCGGCAAAGCCGTCACGAAGCATTCGACGAGCAACGCCGCACACGCCACCATTTCACCCCCATCGTTTCCAACTTACCCCGCCGCGTTTTACTCCACTCGCCTCGACCATCGTTCGACGAGCCAACCGTCGAAGAATCGCCGATACACACACACAGAGACGAGTCCCGCGTGAGATGCCTGCCCTCCGGTCACGTGGTTGGACAGGGGCGAGGGACGGAGAGGAGGCGATCTATCAGGCGTAGCGAAACGTGTACACACGGAGTACACACAACACGGCTGTGCCCAGTTTTCTCCTGTCCGTTAGAACGTTTCGCCTCGTGTTCCTCCTCGCTCTGTGTATATAGGTGTGTGTATATAGATTGGCCGAAGGCATTGTGTGTCCACCGTGTGTGGAGCTGTTGCTTGATTAACCGCCGTGGAACGGCCACGTATACACACACACACACACGATCGAACGACCGACCGACTCGGTTCTCGCATTATTTACGGTTAATGGTTGAAAACGCGGAAGTCCGCTGGCTGTGCGCCATCGTCAGAGAAAAGAAGAAGAAGAAGAAGAAGATTTTAAACTATTTTCCCCGTCGCGATAGAATTCGCGATATCAGGTGAGGAAATTCGGATAAAAATTCTCTTATCCAAGGAGAATATCGACAATATCGCGATTATTACAATATTGCGTTTCCGTTTACAACCGTTCGATATTCCCTCGATGTCGATGAAAACGTGCGTTATTTTCGAGAGAGAGAGAGAGAGAGAGAGAGCACCGTTGGACGGTCAAAGCAACGCCACCGACGGTTATAACGGAAGCGTGCAAACTTCCTCTCTGCGCAAACACATCCGTTTAAGAGGCAAGTTTTCGCCAAGCCTCCAGGCTTACGGAGAAAAACGTTATCGTATTGCATCCAAGAATCTTCCACTTCTCTCCAATAACGTAACTTCCACTGTATATTCGTTACTTCACCGACGATTTTCCATTTCGCCCGAACGGAAAGTAAAAATTCCTCTCCCGAAGGAACTGGCCCATCTTGATATTTCAGAGAAGTTTGTGGTGTGAAATTGATCGATCGAAGGACAGGCATCATCGTAAGAGAAATCGAGCGAGCCGCACCACGGTTTCGCGCAAATCGCATTTCCAGCCGAGTCTCGGCCGTAAAAGGATCTCGAGCGGATTACCGGGTTGTGAGGCGAGAAATATCGGTGGTTCGTGCGAGAAACGACGAATTCAGCTCGCGTCCGCGCCTCCGGTTCCCTCTGCAAGGGGGAGGGAAGGGGAGTTGGTAGTGTTTCCTTCGTGGAACGTGCTCGATTATCGACGCTCCGAAAGCAAATGATTTATTTCTGTACCGGAAACAGCTGAGAACGAGAAAGAAAGAAAGAAAGAAAGAAAGAAATCCGGAATTATCGATCGACCGAGCTATCATCGCATCGAAGCGCGAATAAAAATCGATTCTCGCGTTTAACTCACGTCAACGATGAATTGATGTTCCAGGGTCTGGACAATGTGAGCTCAGCGACCCTCAGGCCTTTCAACTCGGACATCAACACGCCGAGGATCGACAGTTATAGGTTCTCCATGGCGAATCTGGAAGGTGAGCTATCTATCTTTTTCATAAGCCTTGTACGCAATGATGGACGCGTCTATCGTGCGATTTCCGTATCCTCCCTAAGAAAAAGAAAAAAAGAAAAAAGTCGAAAGTTCTTTCTCCTCTTTTTGTTCACCCTCGTGAAAGTTGCAGCCGCGTCTATATCCGATTCGTGTCCCCTCCCGTATGTAGGACAGTTTTTCCAACGTTCCACCCTCTTCCATTTTGCGCTTCGTGAATAAACGAGCACGGGCACCGTGGACAAAAGGGGCGTTTCATCCCGCGAGATTGTGTTTTTTCTCGGCGAAACGAGGGAAACGAGGATGCTCGTTTCGCTTCGATCTTACCTTACCGTCCTCACCACCTCGCATCAAATCGAATCGAATGTCTGCGCGTTGATCAAATCGAGTCGACGAACGAATGAACGAGCTTTTCTACGGTCGGGGAGGAAGAGGGGACGGATCGGTAAAGAGCAATTTCCGCTGTTTTATCGCACCTTGTGCCGCGATCTCGTGGCAAGATTCGAGACCAGACGCGATCGTCTTGTCGCGAATCAACCGAATTTATTGGGAGACTCGAAGTTACAAAGCTATTGCAACTAACCGTTCGGATTGTTTCTTCTTCGAACGAAGATCCAACGTAGAGAGAAAAACGGAGAGGATATTCGAAGAAAATAAAAAGTTTCACGGGTGTAAATTACGTTCCATTCGAAGGAAGCCTGTCACACGGTTCGCTCGCTTATTAATTCCTCCCTCTTCCCTGCGTTTTACTATTCCAACGGCGGCAATCGAAAAGCGACGAAAACATTCTCCTCCGCGAGCGTGGTCCTCCGTGAAGCGTAGAAGGTCAAGCGTAGAAAATTGGACGCTCGTCGAACGTGATCCGTGGTCGGGTCGTGTCTCGAGTCACCGGTCACGTCCAGCCCCCTTCGTCCCCTGCGGCGATTCTGCGGCAGCTGCAACTGCACCAACAACCCACACTCTCCTCGCACCTACACCGCCCATGCTTTATCTCGAATCTTTTGAACTAGCTCCAACAACCTCTCCTCTCGGTGCTTCGAGAGAAAAAAGAAAATAATCCGCGCTCGTATCAGCGGATTTACGCTCGATCGTGGTGTCGCGTCGCAAACCGCCTCGATAATCTGGGAAAAAAAAACTTCCCTTCGATCCTCTGCTTAGCTGACTAGAAACTCTCCTCGATCGTTTGTAGTAATTTCTCTAATTGTTTCGTTGTTTCGAAAATTTGTCTAATTTTTTTTACGGAACATTTTGTCCGCGGTATCAATATCGCCAGATTTTCGATCGAAGTTTTAACGAGATCGAAAGGAAGCGTTGAACCGTTCACGCGTACTGTTCACGGCTTAGTGGATTGTTTCGTTTCTTGGTTGCAATGTCTGATTGAAAATAACGATCTAAACGACGGAAGAAACTCGTAAACGCGATCACTCGTTAAAAGTTCGTTCAATTACCAGGGAAAGCGGTGGAAAATGATACAAAGTCGATGGATATCGGTAAATAAGTGTAGTGTAACTGAAGTAAGCGTTAAAATATGAAGTAATTTAACGAAGTGACGAAGTAAAAAAAAAAAAAAGAAAGAAAGAAGAAGAAAAAAATCGCTTCTGCGTTAATTAATGCACGTTCACGTTGAAATCGTTGGAATTACCACGGTGGTGTGGTTGATACGATGCAATAATCTCTTTTAATCCCTTCTTTCTACCCTCGTTCCTGCCCTTTTCGCTTCTCCACGCTCTCTCCTTCCCGCACTTTTCCGTTAATTATTTCTTCGACTTTCGTTCGCGGCGCCTTCGTCAAAGGGGGGAAGACGAAGAGAATTTCGCACATTCAACATTCTCGAACCAATTCGATCAACGTTTCGCTTTTAAAACGTTTCGTTTAAATTACGCCCGATGAAATTGAACTCGTTTTCATTACCGTAAAACATTTTAAAGTGGATTTTTAATCAAATTGTTGTTGGATAAATTTTCAATTAATCATCGTTGGAACGTGTAATTATTCGTAACTAACTTATCTAGAAATTAAAATTATTTTATACGCCCGGGTGGAACGCGTTCGAATTAATTCACATTAAGAATTCATTTTACAACCTCTGAAATATTTCAAGTCAAGAATTCTTACGTCAAATAATCCAAATGATATGCGCACAATTTTTCAAATTATTTGAGAAACAACCGTATTATTTAAGAACACCCTTTTCCCCTTTTTTGTCCTTCGAAATAAAATAAACGGGGGGCGAAAGAGCAAAGGGGCGAAACACAAAAGAGGCGCTCGAAGGAGGCCAAAACGCTCAAACGACTAATGACTGTTAGTTAAGTTCGACTCGAGACGGGACTCAGTGGGGGGGGTAAAATTGGCAACTCGACGAAATTCAAGGGAGGCAAAGGAGGCATAACATAAAAAATTAATCCCATTTTTTTTATTCGTTCCAAGAACGTGACGTTAGAGGCGCCGCGGTTCATCATTGCAAGCATTCTATTTGCGAATCAGCCACTTTTTATTTCATTACGTCACGTATTTGAACGAGCCAACTCAGCTCGTGGCAGTACGCCGGTTGTATACGCTGCGCTGGCTTGCGTTCCTCGATCGAAGAGAACGATGAGACGGCCGCGTGTACCGGCGAAATTGTGTACACGCTCACAGTCGTTGATCGCGATCCGGTATCTCGGGCTTTGAGAGGCTCGCGTCTCTCTCGAGGGCAGAGTTGGCGTTAGTGGAAAAATCGGGAGCAGATTCTGCATTCAATTACAGAGAGAGACGTGGCTTCGCAGAAATTTAATCAATCATCTCGCGACGCATTAAAATAGCTCGGGGAGCAGGAGGTGGGCGTCGTTTCGATCCGTTTTCCTCTCCCGGATGTATAACGTTCGGCCGATGGCTACGTGGAATTTCTATGGCTCGTTACTGCCGTTATCGGCCGGCCAAATACGCGCAATTCGCATCGTTTCGGCGATTTTATTCCCTCTTCCTGGTCTTGGAACGCGCGTTCGAACACCCGAAATATTTATTATTCAATTCGATTGATGGATGGCGAAGACGTTTCTTATCTTTTCCATCCTTTTCTCGCGAACAAGATCATAAATGTTGCGTGCTCTTTCATTCGCGCAGGATATCGTCGCGATGTAGCTTCGTTTCGTTTCATTCGAAAATAAAAATTCCGAAAAAGCGAAGCTTAAAATTTGCAAAGTAATCGATTCGTTATATATATCGTCCGAACGTGATGGAAAATTCTTTTTACTTTTCCCCTCCCCGAAAACATAAAATTTACTCGCAAAACAAAAAAAGGGAATATGGATATAATAATATAGAGTTTAATATCGATGCAAATTTTATGTTTCGAATTGGCAAACGATTCGACGATAAAGCGGGTAAATCGAAATCGAGGCTTGAAAAAATCATCGTCCTTTGTGTCGGCTCGTCTAATATGATTTTATTAACCATAGTCGGATAGAGGCTAGAACGATTCTCTCGTATCGTTCGCGTAACTAAGTAAAGGAGAAAATAATGAGATTTTAATTGGTGATTTCGATGAAAATGGGAATTGGAAAAATTCAATCGCAACCAGATTTCGATACGAATTGGTAAAAAGCAAGAAAATCGAATTCGTTGGCGGGGAAACAGTTGGAAAACACTTTTACGCCACTTTCAAACTATCTTGATCGCGCTCGAAGGGAAATCCCCTCCCCTAGCTCGCTAATTTATTCCCTTTGACAAATTGTTTCTTCTTAGCCGAGAACGAGCATCCTGTGGGAAAGGTTGAGGCAGAAATTGCCGGAGGCCACCGGGACCGAACCGGTCGTATCACGTTCCAGCCTCCTCTTCTGACGGATAACGTCGCGAGTTTATTTCCCTCCCTCCACCGTGATATAATTCACCCCACCTCCGTAAATTTTATTACGATTCTGAGACGCGGTTTTCTTACTTACTTACTTACTTACTTACTTACTCGGGAGAAGGGGATGAATTTATCGTTGAAGGGACGTTTGTTGGCACCCGATAAACGTCAAGCACGCTTAAAATTGAGAAATGAAAAACGTCGAGAGTGTTATTGACAATCCAACTCGAGGAGGAACGAAGAGAAACGCAATTAGAAACTTTTTTTTAAACGATGTCGCGATTAATTTTAACATTTTCGCGCGACTCTACTCCCCCTGTTCAACACGGGATTAAAGTTCCTCCGTTTATTTACGGATGATGCCGATATATCCTCCTGTCCCTGCCCCAGGGAGATCCGAGAATTATTCGCGATCGCGATAACGGGACGATATCGTCGCGACGGTTTGGAAAAAAGAAACGTCGAAACGAGCGGGAGAGAAACTTGGCCGAGAGAAAAATTATTGCCACGGATTAGCGCGACAGACTTGAAACCTGGCTGTCATTATTATTTCACGGTAGCCTAACGAGCGCGTCTCGTGCGACTGTTTTATCGCGCGACAACAGCGACTTAAGGCTCTTACTGCCGCGTTTAACCTAATTACGTACTTTCCTCGCCGAGGCACGATCCTCGGCTGCTGTCCGTTTAATCGCGCGAAAAAAAATTCCTCGTCGTTCTACGTGTTCTACGTGGATTTCAATCGAGGCTGACCAATTAATTTCCTGGTATTCGTGGCCAAGATTTTCTTCCTTTTGACCAGGCAAAGGTCAAAAATTCAACGTAAGCGATTCGATACTTTATTAGTTCAAAATCGCGAAAGAAACGATCCTTTCGAAGTACTAGCATATAGTATATTCTTGCTTGATGGTGGAAGTCAGGGTTAGGCTGGAGATCGGTTTCCTGGACACGCAACGTACGCTGCATTTGTGCCCGCACAACGGTGTTAATAAAACCTTGGGGTCATTCGTGACGCAGGGCGGGGCTCATTAGTTAATTAAACAAAGTGTGGGTCACGTGCACGCGATCGAAGGTCACAGCGCCTCTTTCGCCGCTGCTTTCTTTTCCTCTGCAAAACCTTTTTGCTTTTTTTGAGAAAAAAAAAAAAGAAAAATAACACG